TAACTCCATGAACACTTCTATTCCACTTCTATTGACTTCATTTGTTAGATTGACGTACACCCTCATTCTCTCTTTTTAAATGTAGGTTCATCATTTCCTCAGAAGTCTGTCATTTAATAATAGTGCGGGAGACAAAGTTTCCTTCAACCAGAAAGGGGAGTTGGAAGCTGGGCTAGATATTATTAATTGGGTTGTTTCACCAAACCAATCCTTTCATAAAGTTAAAGTTGGCAGGATGGATCCCCAGACTTCTTCAAATCAATTATTCACCTTCCATGAGGATACTATAACTTGGCACAAGTGGTTTAACCAGGTACAATTAAACTGTAGTTATTTTGAGTCCTCAGTGTAAACATAGTTTCACCTGACAATGATGAGCTCGTAATGTATGAAGATTTGATTATCTGTTTGTGCTATAGATGCATCTTTTGCATTGAATATATGTAAAATGGTGATAATTGATTAATGTCCAAAGTCAGTTTCCAATTAGCCGAGAACCCTGGGAAGCAGCATTTGCTTTCCAGCATGACAGCGGTGTCTTCCAGGAGCCATGCTCCCCCTTCTTGCACAGCTGGGAATGGAATGTTCCACCCCCTTGGTTGTGCAGGCATTGGTCTCGAAACACCAATCTAGTGTCGGGAGACAGGTGGTCTTTTGGCTCTGCAAATGAGGACTGCACCCAGAATCCCCCTTCTTGGATTGCCACTGGATTCACCACCCAATCTTCCAGGAAGGCCAAGGGGCTATAGTATCCTTCCCAATGGCGCCCCTTGTGGGATCGTGACACCTGGTGCATGTCAGCGGGCGGATCCCAGTCAGGGTTGACACCCCCCCTCCATTTACCTAGGAGGCAGGCTTCTTGATACCAAGTACGTGCTCAATGCCTTGGCCGAAACCTACTTACACCTGTAAACAATAAAATTGTGGCCTATTTCATCTTATTTCTGGTTGGCCCCTCAGGCACCATGTGATTGGGAACGCAATCACACACACTGATTTCAATTAGTCTGTTCAGAGTAGTACATCAATGAAAATCACCTAAAATATCAAATTCCATCCATAGGATCAAACTATGTCCTCTTTAAGCATTGTATTTATACAATAATTCCTGACACCTGCTTGAAGTCTGCAAAGTGAGCAAACCAGCTAGCATCACCTCATAGTAGTTCTCTGCAATCTCAATATGTAGAAAACTTTATTTCATGCTTTCCTCTATCAAAACAGCACTTAATATTCTGTAACACACTGATTCAGCCACCTCACTATACTGGGTAGTTTGCATGTTTCTTTTCAAAACTGTTCTTCCTAAAATTGATTGAAAATTTGGCTTGAAACTATTAATAGTCGTTAAATCATTCAGGTGAAACATGACCACTCTCTTTGGTTGGCACAAACATAAGGCAGCATTAGATAATTGTTTCAGGCACTGAATGCAGAGGAGTCATGAACTGGAATCTCCTGGAGTGAAGAATGACCACCCTTCTGTTCCTGATAGCAGCCTTCTGCGTTCAACACCCACCCGCTCTTCCTAATCTTCCACACTGCCTCACTTTGAGAAAGGGCAAACAGCATACCCTCCAACATGTTGACAGCGGAAACCAAGAAATACATCTTCCTAACCACACTCCCGTTCGAGTCACGTGACCTGCACGAGAACAGGGAGCCCAAAAGCACACATTTTGGGGCTCCACAATCTTGTGCATTTTTCAGCTGAGAGCATGGCACCCAAAAGTGGGATGTCCTGATTTTATCATGGCAGTTGAGGGGTATGCAACAGTTCATTACTTCCTCACAATTATAGATTACAAGCTCAATATCCTCCTTTTTCATTCATGGATTAGGCAAGGCCTATTTCTCTATGCAGTGAGAAATGCAATCCTGGTTCAAGCAAGAAAGTAAAGGAAGGGGAGCCATTTTGTTGCTATGATTGCATCCCCTGTCCAGAAGGGAAGATTTCAGACCAGACGGGTAAGCAATAATGTATATAGAAATAGGAAGCAGATTGCATGATTTTCAGAAGAATAGCGTTATAAAAAAATAAGTATGTACATACACCAGGCCTGCATTCAGATACCACTTTATATTCATTTTCCTAACATTTTTTAGCTAATTATTTCCAGGTTTTATGTGACCTTTCAGGTGACGTGAAAGAAGTATGTGAAAACAGGCAGAATCTAGGAGAAGTTTAGTGATCATTTCAATGTGATTAGATTCCAGTACTAAATACATTTGCAACCTAGGAAATTGTGGGCATTTTGTGTTGTAGTTTCACGTGATCAAATTTGGGGCAGTATTCCAGCATATCACTCCTTCCAGCCAGAAGTTGTATCTCAATTGTTTTAAAATATTATATGTGTGCAACAACTTTGGTAGAAAAAATGAAATGCAGACTACAAATGTTATATGTTAATATGCATAGGAGGGCTTTATGGTATCATTTCAGTTTGTGTGGTGTTCCAGGGAAAAAGCAAATAGCTGTTTAAGGCCCTAAAGGTGGAAATACATTCAAAACTTTCCACATCATGGAAGTTTAATATTAATTACTAAAATCCCTAAAATTATCTCCACACCACATCCCACAGATTCAATGTTTAATTCTTCCCCAATTTGAATTGCCAAATTGGCTGCTCTTGAGATAAATGGCATGTTTATGAGATTAAGCTATGTATTTTCCTTTGCAGATATGAGCGACTGTTCTACATGTTCAGACCAAACATATCCAAATAAAAACCATGATTTATGTATTCCCAAGGAAATAAGCTTCTTGTCTTTTGAAGAACCTGTGGGGATCAGTTTAGCCCTTTCTGCTCTTTCCTGTTCTTTGGTCACCGTTCTAGTCCTCTTAACATTTGTGAAGAACCACAACACTCCCATTGTCAAAGCAAATAACAGGGACCTCACTTACACTCTCCTCCTCTCCCTCCTGCTCTGCTTCCTTTCTGCACTGCTATTCATTGGACAGCCTCAGAAGGTGAACTGTCTCCTCCGACAAACTGCTTTTGGCATCATCTTCTCAGTGGCTGTTTCTTGTGTGCTGGCAAAAACCCTCACTGTGGTTCTGGCTTTCATGGCCACCAAGCCAGGATCCAGAATGAGGAAATGGGTGGGAAAGAGGCTGGCCAATTCAATTGTACTTTCTTGTTCCCTTATACAAGGAGGCATTTGCATTGTGTGGCTGGCAATCTCTCCCCCATTGCCAGAGGCTGATATACACTCAATGGCTGAACAAATTATACTTGGATGTAATGAGGGGTCTGTGACTATGTTTTATTGTGTCCTTGGCTTTATTGGCTTCCTGGCCATTGCTAGCTTCACTTTGGCCTTCCTTGCTAGGAAGTTACCCGACACATTCAATGAAGCCAAGTTTATCACTTTTAGCATGTTAGTGTTTTGCAGTGTGTGGTTATCCTTTGTTCCAACCTACTTGAGCACTAAGGGGAAATACATGATAGCTGTGGAGATCTTTTCTATCTTAGCCTCCAGTGCTGGATTATTGGCCTGCATCTTTTCTCCCAAATGTTACATTATTTTGTTGAAACCTGAATTGAACAAAAGGGAACAGCTAATACGAAGAACTGACTGAAGAATTATGTGATTGTGTCTCCCTATCTAGTTAGTAAAGTACAATTATGCTAATTATAAACAGACTCTTAATTTCATAAAAGTTTAGGGTGGGTTTTCATTCTACAGTACACACTTCTAAGATTTTAGCTCTCAGGTGGTTAAGAGCAGAATGGTTCCATAACATTATTATTTTCAAAAATAAGACACTCCCCCCAAACTCTGAAGTCATGGCTGCAATGTGAGCATGTCACCTGGGAGTAAGCCTCATTCCATTCATTGGGATACTTAAATGTGAGTAGACATGGTTAGAAGTGCTCTACCAAAAAGTCCATTCTGAGCATGAACCTGGTCTATCAGATTCTAATATGCCTATATTTCTTAGTTTCTTTGTTTTGTTCATGAAAAGGTACAGCCTTTAGTCATGATAGGTCAGGGCTGTTAGGGATATGGAAATTTCTTGTCAGGCAAAGATACCAGTGACATCACATATGGAATGAATTTCATAATAGGGCCAAATCTAGGTCTTTTTTGGGTGATGGGCTTTTTCTACTGTTCTTGGATGCCTATACATTTCTGAAGCTTTATCCATAGCTTTAATATTCCTGGAAGTATCTGATAATTAGTCCAAAAATGTACCTTTCTGAAATTCACTTTTGCAAGGAACTCTACTCAAGTAGATAACAAGTAGTTCAATAAGACTGACTTTATTAGTCTTTTTTACAAGCCTGTGTTGGTTGTGTAATTTTAGCCTTCTGCTTTCCTATCATTCCCATCATGTTTTCTTAATAAAAGATGCCAAGTTTTACCTGTCAATTTGTATAGTCCGGTCTTCTCTGTGTGCCAATGAAGGTTGATTGGTTGATTGAACAAAAATCTTTATACATTGATGTTTGGTTTCCTTAGTTTTGAAAGGCAATTCAGCTGAATTTCTCACTACTACCCTTCTGGTTCTATGATCATATAGCAAAGTGACAGAGTTCTATAAGATAAGGGTTTTGGGTTTGTGGATAGTATATTCAGAACGTCTCTCATGGTTTATATTACCTGTCTCAACTATATTAGGCTTGGAGTGGGAAGTCCAGAAAATGGGGTTTAAGTATCATTAATACACCTGGACAGATTTATGTGAGGTAAAGCATCATCCTAATTGATAGCAACCTATCAATACCCTTGGAGTGTGAATACTTATACTAATAAATATTAAAGAACATCTCAGGCATTTAAAAGCATAAGTGTGCATTCCTAGTCAGAAAAGTGGAAAAGAAAACTTCTATTCAGATGTGATAAACATGTTTTTGTTTGCAATTCCACAGGGAATTCCGACATTTGAGTTCATATCATACTCCCATTCATTTATATAGTCTATAATTAAATTCTAAAATCTACTGTACAATTACCATTTCCCTTTAGAGAACTAATCTGAGGATGGCACAAAGATGCCCTCTAGCAATCACAGGTATGATGAGGGACTAGGAACAAGCATGCACACACCAGTCTTATCACTTTACTTATATTTCATAACTTGGACTCAGATAGATTCAGTCTATCATCATATTGACTGAACATCCAATCTGGTCACGATAATGACAGAGTACATCCAGATAATGATGCAGGTGGAATCATGAGTTAGAGTGAAGGGTGGTGTTCAGTATGATGGTATTAGTTGTCTTCCTGCTAATACTGTCTTCTCATATTGCATGTGAAGACCACCTTGTTAAATGCAGGATCCATGCTCCACACCCTCCACTTCAAAAATACTGTCAGGCAGGCATAATCATAATTGGTGGGATTGTTTCTCACAGTTTCATTGTTGCTAATTCAATAGCCTTCACAACCAAACCTCCAGCAACTTCATTTGAAGATCTTACGTAAGGAACTAATCTTTTCTAACTTTGCATACTGTCTCCTCTTACACGTCTGTTGTTCTTTCCTTTCTTTCTGAATTTTTTATTACTTGGCTTGAAACAGAGCAGTGTTTTTGTGTTGTTGTTGTTTTCATTTTATTTACTTTCACGAATCTTTCCATTTTGAGAGTTACCATAACTATCTCAATGCATGCCTTTTGCACTGTATAAAAATGGACTGAATTTTTCTTTCTTTTTTCCTTGCAAGAGTGTGTTTCTTTGAAAGAAAATTCATATCACGTTCAGTGGCTATCATTATGAATGTGCATAGAATAGGGTTAGAATATGTGTCTGATTTTAGTTGTAACTCTTGTTCTAGTGTGGTGCCCAAAAATTACCAGCACATCATGGCCTTGGTATTTGCAGTACTGGAGATAAATGAAAACCCTCAGCTATTACCAAATGTCACCTTGGGCGTCTGCATCTATGACAGCTATTTCAATGCTCAGAGGACTTATCATGCTACTATACTACTTACCTCCACATTAGAGGTATTTGTCCCTAACTACTTATGTGACACCCAAAAACAGTTGATAGCAGTCATTGGAGGACTGGATTCGGATATCTCTCTTCATGTGGCCACTGTATTGGATATCTACAAAATTCCACAGGTAAGGGATATGTGTATATGAGTAGTATAAATGATAGTGGTAAGATGAACTAAGCAGCTAGAGACCACAGCAGCTATTTTTCAAATTCATTGAGAATATTTCCAAGAAGACAGAATCAGGCCAATTTGACAGTCAATATGTATTTATTGATTTGATTTGATTTGATTTGATTTGATTTGATTTCTATCCCAACACTCCTCCAAAAGGAGCCCGAAGTGGCAAATATAAAAATGTAAAAATAATATGTTAAAATAAAATAGAAACATAGTTAAAACATTTTTAAACCACCTGGGGGAACATGTATATTTGAATATCACGATGTATCTTAAAAGAGTTTTGTCATAACTGCTCCAACTGGCTATAATACCTGTGATTATTACATTTGGGGAATGCTTCATCTTTCCCACTGATACTTAAAGGTAGATGCTGGCCAGGGAGACAAAGAGCTGGGGCGCAAAAAATCTTGACTTGTCAGATCAGACGTGGTAATTGTACACAGGGGCCAGGGAACTGGCTCTTAAAAGAACAGTAGTGGTATGAAAGACCCACTTGAGAATTGGTGAATATTATTGGGATTTCAGTTATAGAAAGGCAAGGGAAATAGGAGGACAGCCCACAAAAAAGGGGGAAGTTGATACTGAGTAAATTCCAAGAATTGTCGGGAAGAAATGAGGTAATGATGTAACAATATAATTTCAAATAAGTAAAGCATTTACTAAAAACCAAGTAAGAGAATTCCTCTAAAAAACCGCCTCAGTGCAATACCTTTGAAACAAAACAGAAGGTGTGCATCCCATTAAACTTCCAAATTTATTTTCAGAAAGGCTGTGTGTCCTTAGAACATGGCAGAAACTAAGCAACAAAGATGCTAAATGCATCTTTGTGGGGAGGGTGTTGCATAATTTAGGCACTGCAAAGAGAAATCCCTCTCTCAGGTCATCACTCTCAGCACTCCGGAGTTGGGAGGAACTATGAAAACATAAAAGTGATATGTAATTATAATAATAATTTTCACTCACATCTCCCCTTTCATCTTCAGCTAACATTCAGTCCTGCACCAGTGATGAATGATAAAACCCCAGGACTTTCCTTCTACCAGATGGTCCCCCAGGAAGCCCTTCAGTATGAGGGAATTCTCTCTCTGCTTCTGCATTTCAGGTGGACGTGGATTGGGGTCATTGTTATGGATAATGATAATGGAGAAAGATTTGTGCAAACTGTGCTTCCAGTCTTTTCCCAGAAGGGTGTTTGTTTTGCCTTCATAGAGAGAATCCCCACACTTTCTTTTGTCACTGCATTTATGGACATCATAGAAGATGGGGTCAAAATAAATGATAATATGATGGGCAGTAAAGCAAATGTAATAGTGATCTATGGAGAATCTTATTCCATGTCATTTTTTAGATGGCTTCCGGTTTTATCTGTTGAAAATAAATTAGGGGGAAAGTTTGGATAGCAACAGCCCAGGTGGAGATCAGTGCATTTCCCTATCAAAGGCACTGGGATGTAGAACTATTCCATGGTGCTATAGCCTTCAGATATCAGTTTAGTTATTTACAGAGATTTCACAAATTTCTTGAGGAGAGAAATCCTTTAAATACAATAGAAGATGATTTCATAAAGAAATTCTGGGAGACCGTATTCAGCTGTATATTCTTAAATGTCACTGGCAACTATGTGGATGGAGATATTTGCACAGGAGAAGAGAAGTTGGAGAGCCTCCCTCTCCCTTTTTTTGAAATGAGTATGACTGGGCACAGCTACAGCATCTACAATGCAGTCTATGTAGTGGCCCATGCTTTACAAGCCATGTTCTCATCCAGAAGGACATATGGCACAGTATTAGTCAGAGGAAGACCTGAACTTCAGAATCAACCATTTTGGCAGGTAATTTTCCAAACATTCTCATGTGGTAGCACACCATATTTTGAGGGTAACCAGTGAAACTAATGTGTCCATAAACTCTACCTATGCTCACATTTTCAGCTTTCTTTCTCTGCCCACTGCATAGAAATGAAAGAATAGTCTATGCTTTAGTCAGCCTTCTTTTTATGTGTCTTTTTGGTATATGAACTTACTGTACCTACAGTGTATAATGGGTGCTAGTGGTTTTTTTGTGTGTGGTTTCATTCCTTCCAAACAGAGTAACATTGTTATTATGCTGCTGCTTCAGAATATATACATCTAGCTCAGTTGGTCTCAGCACAAATCACAGGGTTGTGGGTTCAAGCCCCACATTGGGGAGAAAGATTGCTGCATTGCTGGGAACTTGACTATATGACACTTGTGTTCCCTTTCAAGCTCCATGTCTTCATCTGCCCCAGCTTCAACAAAACCTATCTCTTCCATATCAGTTTCAGCAGCCACAGCGGGAGCTGGAACCTCCCAACAGTTTGACCTTACCCCCAAAGGCACTGTCCTATATTGTTTCAGTACAGACAGATGCCAACCATGTAGTCAGAAAAACACAGCTCTCCTTTAAAAAAACATTTCTAAGGTGTCATCTTTTTAAGTTCAACACTTTACATGCTACTATATAAATGCAACTGTTTGTTTGTTTGTTTGTTTGTTGTTTGTTTGTTTGTTTGTTTATTATTTTCTTTTTATCAAGCTCCATCACTTTCTCCAAAGTGTTTCATTTAATAACAGTGCTGGGGACAAGATTTCTTTTGATGAAAGTGGAAAAGTGATAGCTGCATTTGATGTTATAAACTTGATTGTTTTGTCCAACCAATCCTTCCATAAAGTAAAAGTTGGTAGGCTTGATCCTCAGGCTCTTCCAAGCCAAGTGTTGACCATCAACGACAAGGTCATAAGGTGGAACAGCTTGTTTAACCAGGTAAGTACTAATTGTCAGTACATTGCAAACTATTTCTGACTTGCAATGTTAATTCCTTTTTTATATGATTATGAAATAAAAATAAAGTAAAAACAAAAACAAATATATGCAAATAAATAAAACAAAACATTAATTGTATACAAACAAGCATAAACACATTTACGTTTTAAAGTTTTTTGAAGGCAGAAGCTTTTATTCATTCAGTCAAAGGTAACTATTGTTGTTAAACAAGACCCTTGAAAGTGTTCTTTTCACTAGCATAATAAAACCATTTCATTCTAAGAATCCTTACTTTACATAGGGGACCATAAATGTCAGGAGTCTGGGTTCCCAGCTTGATAACATAGTAAGCATAGGTAATTAAAAAGGAGGATTTATTGCAAAAACAAACAGATAGCTCCGGATGGCTCTAACACAGAAGCCGACATTATCACTTGAGATGACCCTTCTGAAGACTTCTTCCGGTTCTTACAGACTATATTGAACCGTCGTCCCTTACTTCTCTTGTTTTGCTTCCTATCTAGCAACCCTCCCATTTGCTGACACTTCAGACTTATTGGATTAGCTCCAGCCTCTTCCTGTTCTGACAGACTGTCTATGTGTCTGTTCACTCCTGTTTGAACTTCCTGAGAGCTTTGGCTGTGTTCTAGCCCGCTACTCAGTTGTTCCCTCGGCAACCGGCATTCCAATGTCCAGAGGACTTACCACTGACTACTGTGTTCTTTGCTCAGCCTGCATCAAATCTACGCCTCTCTGTTCTGCAGCAGGCTGTAAAGTTCCACTAGGAACTGGCTCAGTAAACCTCAACTTTGCCTTATTTGCTATTGAATTTTGATAAATTGCAAGATGTAGGTAATTTCTCCTATTGGTAGTCTTCATTTAAGAGTCAAGTAACAATTGTTTTGTATCCCCACATGCAATACCTTTTGGAAAACTGCTTTGAGGTATTTTACAATCCAGTAGTATATAGATTTTATGAAATAAATATATATACTCCAGCTATTTATAATTTCTCATCATAATGGCTTTCTTATTCTCTAAGAAACAAGTCCCCAAATCTTAAAGATCCAAAGCTCAATATGCTTGTCCCTTTTCATTTCTGGATTAGGCACAACCTTTATCCGTATGCACTGAGAGTTGTTATCCAGGTCATAGCAAGAAAGTGAAGGAGGGGGAGCCATTTTGCTGCTATGATTGCATTCCATGTCCAGAAAGGAAGATTTCAACTCAGAAGGGTAAGACATATACTTATGCCCTTTCCTTCATACACCTTCAAGAATCTTCTCCCAATTTCAAACCTCAGTTCCATGCAGCTGATTGCTCACAGTTATGATGTCCACCTCCTCTGGTGTGCACTTATTCTTAATCCAAATTAAAATCCAATTATTAGAAGAACCTCCACATCCAAAGGCAATTTTGGGAGTTTCGCATCATGTGAAGTGCGTAGCACCCAGTGCCCCCTGCCCATCCCCCGTGGTGAGCAATTGAGGCGCTGGCAGATTGCCAGTACCTCCCATAACCTGAGAGTTTTATAGGGGATGGTTTAACTCCTTCCATCTCATTTTTTCACCCTGTTCTTCTCTCCAGTGTTGAGAGAGCCATTGCCATGGCATGCTATAGGAACCAGAAGCCTGAAACAAAAAGGTTTTAAAGGTAATGGCCACACACCAGAATTCTGGATGGGCAGGGTTTGTGGCCGAGCAAATTCCCTCCACCTTTGTAAACCATTTTCTTGTGTCTGGCCATTGGAACCCTCAACAGCCGGCCATCAGAGCTTGTAGGATTGCCCAACAAAATTTAATCTGAATAGGGCAAAAATGCTTTTTCACGGGCAGGGGTGGAGCAGCAGACTGTAGTGAAGACTGTAGTCCACCTCCAGAGTATTTAAGCTGATGGTATTCAGCAGTTTGGTCTGCAGAGCAGCAACCTTCCCTCCCACAACATATATATGGTACCTTAGTTCTTTCGTTCTTGCAGTGGTGCAACATGATCATCATATTCTTGGCCAGGAGGGAATTTGCCCTCAAACAAATTGGGCCTGTTGTGGCATTTTTTGCCTTTCTCATAGCAATTATCTCAACTAACTAAGCCTAGCAGGACCTGGCTAAGGCTAGCAGGACAGCTTACTCTATAGTATTAACCCCATTCATGTGTTAATTCGACTTAAGTAAGTTGGTTACAGAAGACTAGTTATCCCACAGTCCCGTCATTACATTTCTTTAGGTACCAGGTGAAAACATTCCTCTTCAATCAGGCTTTTCTCTGATTAAACAATCTATGGCCCTTTGAATGAATTATGTTATATATTTTGTGTTTGTATGTACCCCACCCTGTGACATTTGGGTGAAAGGAGGTATGTAAATTTAATAACAATAAATTACCTTTGCTTTTCAGATATGCATGACTGTTTTGACTGCATGGACACAACCTATCCAAACATCAAGCATGATTTTTGCATACCCAAAGCTAGAATATTCTTATCTTATAAAGAACCTCTGGGGATCAGCTTAAGCCTCTTTGCACTTTCCTTTGCACTGATAACAGCTCTGGTGCTGGGAATAATTCTGAAGCACCACAACACTCCCATCATCAAAGCCAACAACCAGAACCTCACATACATTCTCCTGATTTCCCTTCTGCTTTGCTTCATTTCTGCATTGCTTTTCATTGGCCATCCTGAACCGGCGACATGTCTTCTCCGACAAACTGCATTCAGCATCATCTTCTCAGTGGCTGTTTCTTCTGTGCTGGCAAAAACTATCATGGTGGTTCTGGCATTTATGGCCACAAAGCCAGGAAGCAGGATGAGAAAATGGGTGGGGAAAAGCCTGGCCAACTCCATTGTTGCATCCTGTTCCCTCATACAAGCAGGCATTTGCAGTGTGTGGCTGGCAACCTCTGCCCCATTCCCAGATGTGGACATGCACTCAGTGACTACAGAAATCATACTAGAATGTAATGAGGGATCTGTGATTTTATTTTCTTGTGTCTTGGGCCATCTTGGCTTCTTGGCTATTGTTAGTTTCATTGTGGCTTTCTTTGCTCGGAAGTTACCGGACAGTTTCAATGAAGCCAAGTTCATCACTTTCAGCATGTTGGTCTTCTGCAGTGTGTGGCTATCCTTCATTCCAGCTTATCTGAGCTCCAAGGGCAAATACATGGTAGCTGTGGAGGTTTTTTCTATTTTAGCTTCCAATTCTGGGTTGCTGGGTTGCATCTTTGCACCCAAATGTTATATCATTTTGTTGAGGCCTGAGCTAAACAACAGGGGACAGCTAGTAAGAAGATAAGACTGAGTAGCATGCTTTTTGTTACAGTCTGTGGTCTGGATGCATTTGTGCACGGATGAACACACCTTTCTGTTTTTTTCCTTTTCTGGAGCTGTCCAATATACATTTTGCTCAAAATTCTCCAAGCACTTACTAGTTTGAAATACATGTGAAACTCAGAATCAACTTTTTTCCCCAAACAGAAATGTTACGTATTTACAGAAGGCATTTTTAAGTCAGAAACATTCAATAAAAATATAAAATGTTGTCTATACAGATGCTAAATTTCTGAAATCCAATATGTTGCGAAAGATTTGGGCACTGAATTCTTACCAAAATGGCACTAAATCTAATTACTGTTACACAAATCTGGTAATGTGTCAGATTATACAGAGAAGCATTACATTTTACAGAAGAACATAGTAGGATTTCAAGAAGAGGCCATCAAGCCTTCTAGTTTATTTTTTGTTGTGATATCTCTCCATATGGCGTGGATGTGATTGCCCAAAGTCGGATATCTTAAAGGCTTATAGAAGCCTGCTGGAATTGGCAGTTATACCTATTCAGGCTGGCAATTGGAAGGATCATCACTGTGACAACAGGTGACTGATTGGTGGATAACCCCACCTGCCCACCAAAATGACATTTTCAGGAATCTAAAGGTGGTGTTCAGCTAATTCCTAACGCACATGACTAACTTAGGTTCATTAATTTCAGGATCCAGCCCACTATTGGAAAGGGTTTCTCACCCCTGCCTAGGGGTCTTAGTAGACCACAAACATGACATTATTCAACAGTGTGAATTAGCAGCAAAAAAGCTAATGCTATTCTAGGTTTTGTGAATGGAATTGTGATGTCCTGATCAAGGGTAGTAACAGTACCACTCTATTCTGCCTTGGCCAGTCTGCACCCTGTGTACTGTGTTCAGTTCAAGGCACCACAATTTAAGAAGAATATTGACCAGCTGGAAAGAGTGCAGAAGACGGTGACCAAGGAATGCTTCACATGTACTGAAACTGAAATCTACTCAAGTAGATAACAACTAGTTCAGTAATATTGACTTTATTGATCTTTTTTGCAAGCCTGTGTTGGTTGTGTAATTGTAGCCTTCTGTTTCACTCCCATTTCCATCATGTTTTCTTAATAAAAGATGCCAAGTTTTACCTGTCAATTTGTATAGTCCAGTCTTCTCTGTGTGCCAATAAAGGTTGATTGGTTGATTGAACAAAAGTCTTTATACATTGATGTTTGGTTTCCTTAGTTTTGAAAGGCAATTCAACTGAATTTCTTACTACTATCCTTCCAGTTCTATCATCATATAGCAAAGTGATGGAGTTCTATAAGAAAAGGGTTTGGGGTTTGTGGATAGTATATTCAGAGCTTCTCTCATGGTTTATATTGCCCACCTCAACTATATTAGTCTATGGGTGAGGAGCCCTGAAAATGGGGTTTAAATATAATTCATACAGCTGGACAGATTTCTGTGAGTTCAAGGATCATCCTGATTGATAGCAACCTATCAATACTCTTGGGAGTGTGAATCCTTATACTAATAAATATTAAAGAACATCTCAGGCATTTAAAACCTTAAGTGTACACTCCTAGTCAGTAAAGTGGAAAAGAAAACTTCTATTCAAATGTAATAAACATGTTTTTGTTTGCAATTCCACAAGGACCTCCCACATTTGAATTCATACTCCTATTCATTTATATGGTCTATAATTAAATTCTAAAATCTACTGTACAATTACCATTTCCCCTTAGAGAACTAATCTGAGGATGGCACAAAGATGCCCTCTAGCAATCACAGGTATGATGAGGGACTAGGAACAAGCATGGACACACCAGTCTTATCACTTTACTTATACTTCATATCTTGGGTGTAATGACTTAGGCATATCATCAGATTGACGGAGCATTCAATCTGGTCACGATAATGACAGAGTACATCCTGATAATGATGCAGGAGGAATCATGAGTTAGAGGGAAGGGTGGTGTTCAGTATGATGGTATTAGTTGTCTTCCTGCTAATACTGTCTTCTCATATTGCATGTGAAGAGCACCTTGTTAAAAGCAGGATCCATGCTCCACACCCTCCACTTCAAAAATACTGTCAGGCAGGCAGCATCATAATTGGTGGGATTGTTTCTCACAGTTTCATTGTTGCTAATTCAATAGCCTTCACAACCAAACCTCCAGCAGCATCATTTGAAGATCTTTGGTAAGGTACTAACCCTTTCTAACTTTGCATTTGTTAATTCGTCTTAGTCTTAGGAGCTTATCAAAAATATTTTCTTGTTGAAATGTAGAAAAGGTAATATATTTAAGGGAATGCTGAAGAGAGAAAGAAATTCCACATGACAAAGCAAAATTTGTTGTCATCCCTGAGAGTGTTCAGAGCTTCTACCAGGAAGGGAATGAGCTTTTTCCAGATCCAGTTAGCTGTTTCATTGCCCCCCTGTAGGCTCAATAACACATTCACTCCACCATTGTACCACACTTGGTCCAAATATACCTCCTCAACTATGACTACTATTGTTACTACTACTGTTAAAAATTGATGATGTGAGATTCTGTCATGTATTTCCTTTGTCACATTTTTTGAATGTAAGGTAAAATTCAGAGTAGAAAGAACTTTAGCTCCTCTTTCCTTTACAAACTCCTGCATCTCACCCATCTCCACCTCCTGTTTCCTTTCTTTCATCATATGCATACTGTCTCCTCTTAAACTTCTGTTGTGCTTTCCCTTCCTTCTGATTTTTTTGTTACTTGGCTTGAAACAGAGCAGTGTTTTTGTGTTGTTGTTGTTTTCATTTTATTTACTTTCATGAATCTTTCCATTTATGAGAGTTACCATAACTATCTTAATACACGCCTTTTGCACTGTATTAAAATGGACTGAATTTTTCTTTCTTTTTTCCTTGCAGGAGTGTGTTTCCTTGAAAGAAAATTCATATCACATTCAGTGGCTATCATTATGAATGTGCATAGTATAGGGTTAGAACATCAATAGATATATCAATGTGAGTGTATTTTCCATTGTGTCAGTCATAGTAATATACCTATCAATACCATTTTTTTTATTGTTTACTTTTTCCCACTACAAAAGGCATATAAATAAAGACTGATGAAGCTGATGCAGAATAAAATTGCAACAATTTATTAGGGGAAAAATATTGTCTGACTGTATTTGCAACTCTTATTCTAGTGTGGTGCCCAAAAATTACCAGCACATCCTGGCCTTGGCATTTGCAGTACAGGAGATAAATGAAAACCTTCAGCTATTACCAAATGTCACCTTGGGCATCTGCATCTATGACTGCTATTTCAATGCTCAGAGGACTTATCATGCTATTATGCTACTTACCTCCACATTGGAGATATTTGTCCCTAACTATTTGTGCGACACCCAAAATCAATTGATAGCAGTCATTGGGGGGCTAGATTTAGATATCTCTCTTCATATGGCGACTGTACTGGATATCTACAAAATTCCACAGGTAAGGGATATGATTTCATTTGATTTGTATCCCAACACTCCTCCAAATGGAGCCGAAGGTGGCAAACATCAAACTTTAAAAACAATATGTTAAAACAAAATAGAAACATAGTTAAAACATTTTTAAACCATCTAGAAACATGCTCCCCTACCCACCTTGGGGAACATGTATATATGTATATCATTTTATATATTTCCCATCCAATATATGTATGTGATCTCTAAAAGGTCTTGGAGCATCTGTATATCATGAAAGAGTTTTGTCCTTGGCTAATCTCCAGGAAACACTAAATAATTCACACCTTCAGCTTCCTTCCAAGTTTGAGCCCCATGAATTCTGTCCTTGCCCTCAAAGAATACTAAGGTCTTGTTTGATGAAAGGAGAGCTGAGATGAAAGGAGAGCAATGTATTCATTGGCTCTCCAACAGGTACATGGTGTTAGGCTTTGTTGGTGGTTTGAGGCTGTCTACAGGCTGTGTCATAACTGCCCCAACAGGCTATAATACCTGTGATTACTGTTTTTAGGGACTTAAGAATTGCTGAACATTATTGGGACTTAAGTTATAGAAGGGCAAAGAAAATAGGAGCAGAGCTCACAAAGGAAAGGGGAAGTTGATACTGAAATGCATCTATGTAGGGAGGGTGTTGCATAATTTTGTTGTTGTTTAGTCATTTAGTCGTGTCTGACTCTTTGTGACCCCATGGACCAGAGCACGCCAGGGACTCCTGTTTTCCACTGCCTCCTGCAGTTTGGTCAAACTCATGTTGGTAGCTTCGAGAACACTGTCCAACCATCTCATCCTCTGTCGTCCCCTTCTCTTTGTTCCCTCAGTCTTTCCCCAAATCAGGATCTTGTCTAGGGAGTCTTCTCTTCTCATGAGGTGACCAAAGTATTGGAGCCTCAGCTTCAGGATCTGTACTTCCAGTGAGCACTCAGGGCTGATTTCCTTAAGAATGGATAGGATTGATCTTCTTGCAGTCCATGGGACTCTCAAGAGTCTCCTGCAGCACCATAATTCAAAAGCATCAATTCTTCGGCGATCAGCCTTTTTTGTGGTCCAGCTCTTACTTCCATACCTCACTGGGAAAACCATAAAACTATACAGACCTTTGTCGGCATGGTGCCAAAGAGAAATCCCAAAGAAAAATTTAATTTGGGTAAGGCTGTGTGTCCTTAGAACATGGCAGAAGCTAAGCAACAAAAATGCTAAACGCATCGGGGGGGGTTGCATAATTTAGGAGCTACCAGAGAGAAATCCCTCTCCCAGGTCATCATTCTCAGGACTCTGGAGTTGGGAGGAACTATGAAAACATAATAATAATTATAATAATAATTTTCACTCACATCTCCCTTTCCATCTTCAGCTAACATTCAGTCCTGCACCAGTGATGAATGATAAAATCCCAGGCCTTTCCTTCTACCAGATGGTCCCCCAGGAAGCCCTTCAGTATGAGGGCATTCTCTCTCTGCTTCTGCATTTCGGGTGGACGTGGATTGGGGTCATTGTTATGGATAATGATAATGGAGAAAGATTTGTGCAAACTGTGCTTCCAGTCTTTTCCCAGAAGGGTGTTTGTTTTGCCTTCATAGAGAGAATCCCCACACTTTCTTTTGTCACTGAATTTATGGACATCATAGAAGATGGGGTCAAAATAAATGATAATATGATGGGCAGCAACGCAAATGTAGTAGTGATCTATGGAGAATCTTATTCCATGTCATTTTTTAGATGGCTTCCGGTTTTATCTGTTGAAAATAAATTAGCGGGGAAAGTTTGGATAGCAACAGCCCAGGTGGAGATCAGTGCATTTCCCTATCAAAGGCACTGGGATGTAGAACTATTCCATGGTGCTATAGCCTTCAGATATCAGTTTAGTTATTTACATAGATTTCACAAATTTCTTGAGGAGAGAAATCCTTTAAATACAATAGAAGATGATTTCATAAAGAAATTCTGGGAGACCGTATTCAGCTGTATATTCTTAAATGTCACTGGCAACTATGTGGATGGAGATATTTGCACAGGAGAGGAGAAGTTGGAGAGCCTCCCTCTCCCTTTTTTTGAAATGAGTATGACTGGGCACAGCTACAGCATCTACAATGCAGTCTATGTAGTGGCCCATGCTTTACAAGCCATGTTCTCATCCAGAAGGACATATGGCACAGTATTAGTCAGAGGAAGACCTGAACTTCAGAATCAACCATTTTGGCAGGTAATTTTCCACACATTCTCATGTCGTAGCACACCATATTTTGAGGGTAGCCAATGAAACTAATGTGTCCATAAACTCTACCTATGCTCACATTTTCAGCTTCCTTTCTCTGCCCACTGCGTAGAAATGAAAAAATAGTCTATGCTTTAGTCAGCCTTCCTTTTTTGTGTCTATTTGGTATGTGAACCAACTGAAACTACAGTGTATAATGGGTGCTAATGATGTTTTTAGTGGTGACCAATTCCTCAGCCAAATTTCATTTCTTGCAAAAAGAGTACCATTGTTATTATGTCACTGTCTCCAGAATATATACATCTATCTCAGTGGGTAGGGTATGAGACTCTTAATCTCAAGTTGTGCGTTGCAGGAAACTTGATTATACGACACTTGTGCTCCCTTCAAACTCTACAATTCTATGAAGTCAAGAACGGCATGGTGCATCTGCAGCAGCACAACTGGATGTCTCCATCTGCCCCAGCTGCAAAAAACATGACTCTTCTATATCAGTCTCTACAGCCACAGCGGGTGCTGGAAGCTGCCAACAGTTTGACCTCACCCACAAAGGCAACATATATGCAGAAAAATGCAGCTCTTCTTTAAAATACAGTCATATTTAGGGGTGAAGTAGCTTCGGGTTGAGTGTTTTCGGGTTGCGCTCCGCGGTGACCCAGCAGTAACGAAATGTGTTACTTCTAGATTGTGCCGCTCGCACATGCGCAGACGCTCAAAATAACGTCACGCATATGCACGGAAGCGGTTAATCACAACCCGCAAAGGCGCGCAGGCGCAGTTTGCGGTCGCTTCAGGATGCGAACAGGGCTCCGGAACAGATCCCGTTCGCATCCAGAGGTACGACTGTATATTTCTAAGGTGTCCTTTTTTAGGTTCAACATTTTATACACTACTATATTAATGCAACTATTTATTTCTTTATTATTTTCTTTTTTCTAGCTCCATCACTTTCTCCGAAGTGTTTCGTTTAATAACAGTGATGGGGACAAGATTTCTTTTGATGAAAGTAGAAAAATGATAGCTGCATTTGATGTTATAAACTTGATCGTTTCCTCCAACCAATCCTTTCATAAAGTAAAGGTTGGTAGGCTTGATCCTCAGGCTCCTCCAGACAAAGTGTTAGCCATCAATGACAAGGTCATAAGGTGGAACAGCTTGTTTAACCAGGTAAGAACTGTCAGTTATTTGATACTTCGGTAACGACTCTAGGTCGCTATTCTGACATGCAATGTTAATTTCTTTATAATATGATTACTAAATAAAAATGAAATAGAATTAAAATTATATATATACATGCAGATAAATAAAATAAACAATTTATTGTATACAAACTAGCATAAACACATTTACGTTTTACAGTTATTTGAAGGCAGAAGCTTTTCTTTATCCAGTCAATGGTTACTATCTTTGTTAAGCAAGACCTTGAAAGTTGTTCTTTACACTAGCATAATGAAACCATTGCATTGCAAAAATCCTTATTTTACATATGGGACCATAAAACTCTGCTTTGCCTTATTTGCTATTGAATTTTGATAAATTGCAAGATGTAGGTAATTTCTCTCAATTGTACTCTTCCTTACAGAGTCAAGTAACAATTATATTGCACCCACACATGCAATAACCTTTCGTAAACAGCTTTGAGGTATTTTACAATCCAGTAGTTTATAAATTTTATGAAATAAATATATATGCTCCAGCTATTTATAATTTCTCATAATATAATGGCTTCCTTATTGTCTAAGAAACAAGTCCCACAAATCTTAAGGCTCCCAAGCTCATTTTTTGTGTGTCCTTTTTATTTCTGGCTTAGGCACAACCTTTATCCGTATGCACTGAGAGTTGTTATCCTGGTTACAGCAAGAAAGTGAAGGAGGGAGAGCCATTTTGCTGCTATGAGTGCATTCCATGTCCAGAAAGGAAGATTTCAACTCAGAAGGGTAAGACATATACTTCAGAGGTTTGCCATATCAGATTAGCAGAAGTATCGCACTAAGGGGCAGTCATCTGAAAACAGGAATATGTCTGATAAGTTATTCTTCAGTGTTTGAAATGAAATGTTTTGCCACTCCCAACCCCCCAATATAAACCCAATTAAACAAATTAATTTCAAAGTAATACAATTTTGTTAAGAGCCTTCCCACACACTATTCATGGTAGATCATTATGATCTAATATTACAGTGTTTCATATTCTTATTTATTTCTATTACATTCCATTTTTCAAAATTATCACATAATTAACAGCTGCATTCTTAATGGTTTCTATTTGTTTTATTATATTATTTAACTTCAAAAAAGAAAAGAAAAAAGGTTTCAATTGAAGAACCATAGCTTTTCCCTTTTCATTCTGCGTGCGCCACATCCAAAAGTCAGTTGTTAGTCTCTTGGCCTTATATGTCTCTCTTATGTTTTCCTTTTTCCTGCGGTATTTGGGGCTATCTCCTACTGCTGTTGTATTCCATCCTTGTTGGTGATGAGCTGCAACTTCAAGGTTAAACCCTCTTCTTTCTCAGACTCAGCTCCTCCCCATAATACTGAAGCAGTTCCAAATCGAAAACAGTAGATCCCTCCCTTCCATAGGCATCCAGAATCAACAGGTTGCAGAGATGTGCCATTTCTTCCTCTGGCTGAGAAGGGAGGGGAAAGGCAGTGCCATTCCTCTTCCACATCCAAAGCTACTATAGCATTTTGCTTTTTATTTATTTTTTAAAAAGTTATATCTCCATGATCTCTTTCAGCCTTTCAGTCTTTTTAGAGGGAGTAAGCTTTAACTCACAGTGACATCCTTCCAAACAAAACAACCAAGCTCTTTCTGTCTCTCCCCTCCTTACTCCTTTCAAGCCACATGCAGCTTTACATCTTCTGCAATGGCGCCACTGCACTCTCTCTCCCTGGCACTGCTGTGCCAGCCCTCTCTGTTTCCCTTTCTCTCAGGTGAAATCCCCAATGGAGAATGAATCACGAGCGACAGTGGGATTTTCTTTTGGGAAAACAGGTTGCAAACAAACTTTATTATAACAGATGTAAACAAGGAGTTTTAGTTCTTCTTCTTCCACAGAATTGTAACAAACAGTGAGTTGCTTTCTATTACAATGTATTCTGTTTCAGGTTATAGGCTGTATGCTGTTCAAGCTTATTGTTACTTTCTTTTGCACATCTTTCATAAATCAGACTTCTCCACAAACACTTCAGGAATTAAGGATTTCCACTGTACTGTTTCCTTAAAAGAAAGGTAAAGGACCCCTGACAGTTAAGTCCAGTTGCGAACGACTCTGGGGTTGCAGCAATCATCTTGCTTTACTGGCTGAGGGTGCTGACGTTTGTCCGCAGTTTTTCCAGGTCATGTGGCCAGCATGACTAAGCCACTTCTGGCAAAACCAGAGCAGCGCACGGAAATGCCGTTTACCTTCCCCGGAGTGGTACCTATTTATCTACTTGCACTTTGACATGCTTCCAAACTGCTAGGTTTCCTTACAAACCCCCAAATCCTCCTTGGCCTTGGAATCACTACTGCCCTTTCGTGTCAGAGTACTCCCTCTGAAGACCCTTTTTCCTATAGACACCGTGTGGGACTGTGTCTTGTCTATTTTAACAGTGTTCTGTGATTCAGAAGCTTAGAGCATATACTGAGAATTCTTGGCTTTCCTCAGCTCTAACACCTGTCAGAAGAACGAACTCTCCTGACAGAATCCAACTCACAGACCCCATGAATCTTTCACACAGTCTCTCACTCCACTCAAACGGCCTCCCTTGGAAATCTGGCCAATCAGGAGCTGTTGCTAGTTAACTGTTTGCTGTAGTACAACTCATGCAACACGTTGGCAACTAATATACACACAATAATTACCAAAATGATTATGCATTCTTTATCAATCTTCTGAGAAAAATATACAAACTTATGCAAAGCCACAGAGACTTGTGAACTACCCAAGCTAAGATGAACTTATAATGTCTGATTTCTAGTTAACTGTTTGGTGGCGGGACGGGGGGAACACTCAGTGACCTGCTCGGCAAACAAACTTTTCCATCACATCTTCTTTTAAACCACAATGATACATTGTACATAAAACCATCTATACTTCTATATCTTAAAATTCAATATTAGGAGAGGGCTGCTGAACCATATATTTAAAAGCTTCCATAAAATATGACAAAGAGCCACCCTCTGCTCCATCCACCTCCCACAGAAGATACAATATTCCCCCAATTTCAAACCTCAGTTCCATGCAGCTGATTGTTCACCATTATAAAACCCAATTATAATGAGAACCTCCTTGCAATTTGTGGGGTTTCAGATCAGGCGAAGTGCATAGCAACCAATGCCCCCTGCCTGTCCCACAGTGAGACATTGAGGCGCAGGCAAGTCTCCAGTATCTCCCATACACCAGAAATTTATAGAGGGTTTAACCCCTTCCATCTCCTTTTTTCAGCCTGTGCCTCTATTCAGTGCTGAGAGAGTCATTGCCATGGCACAATACAGGAACCGGAAGCCTGAAACAAAAGGTTTTGAAGGTAATGGCGACTCAGAAGTATTCTGGATGAGCAGGGGTTGTGGCCCAGCAAATCCTCCCCAACTTTGAAAATAGTTTTCTTGTCTCCTGCCATTGGAAACCCCCGAAAGCCAGCCATAAGAAGGTGCAGGATTGCCCAACAATATTGAATCTGAATTGGGCAATAATGCCTTTTCATGGGGGCAGGGGTGGAGAAGCAGACCATAGTGAAGAAGTCTTCACTCTGGTCCACCTCCAGAGTATTTAAGCTGATGGCACTCAAAAGCGTGGTTAGCAGAACAGCAACCATCCCTCCCACACCATAAATATGGTATCTTGGTTCAAAATGGTCATCGAATTCTTGGCCAGGAAATAATCTGCCTTCAAACAATTTTGGCCTGTTGTGGGTTTGTTTGCCTTCCTCATAGCAATTATCACAATGAGCTAAGCCTAGCAGGATGTAGCTAAGGATAGCAGGACAGCCTATTTTACATTACAAACCACATCAAATGTTAATTAGACTTAGGCATGTTGGTTATAGAGACTGGTTTTCCCACAGTGCCGTCATTACATGTTATTAGGTGCCAAATGAAAACATTCCTCTTCAATCAGGCTTTTCTCTGATTAAACAATCTATGGCCATTTGAATGAATTGTGCTATATATTTTGTGTTTTAATGTACCCCACCCTGTGACATTTGGGTGAAAGGAGGTATGCAAATTTAATAACAATAAATTGCCTTTGCTTTTCAGATATGCATGACTGTTATGACTGCATGGACACAACCTATCCAAACATCAAGCATGATTTTTGCATACCCAAAGCTAGAACATTCTTATCTTATAAAGAACCTCTGGGGATCAGCTTAAGCCTCTTCGCACTTTCCTTTGCATTGATAACAGCTCTGGTGCTGGGAATAATTCTGAAGCACCACAACACTCCCATCGTCAAAGCCAACAACCGGAACCTCACATACATTCTCCTGATTTCCCTTCTGCTTTGCTTCCTTTCTGCATTGCTTTTCATTGGCCATCCTGAACCGGTGACATGTCTTCTCCGACAAACTGCATTCAGCATCATCTTCTCAGTGGCTGTTTCTTCTGTGCTGGCAAAAACTATCATGGTGGTTCTGGCATTTATGGCCACAAAGCCAGGAAGCAGGATGAGAAAATGGGTGGGGAAAAGCCTGGCCAATCCCATTGTGGCATCCTGTTCCCTCATACAAGCAGGCATTTGCAGTGTGTGGCTGGCAACCTCTGCCCCATTCCCAGATGTGGACATGCACTCAGTGACTACAGAAATTATATTAGAATGTAATGAGGGATCTGTCATTTTATTTTCTTGTGTCTTGGGCTATCTTGGCTTCTTGGCTATTGTCAGTTTTGTTGTGGCTTTCTTTGCTAGGAGGTTACCGGACAGTTTCAATGAAGCCAAGTTCATCACTTTCAGCATGTTGGTCTTCTGCAGTGTGTGGCTATCCTTCATTCCAGCTTATGTGAGCTCGAAGGGCAAATACATGGTAGCTGTGGAGGTTTTTTCTATTTTAGCTTCCAGTTCTGGGTTGCTGGGTTGTATCTTTGCACCCAAATGTTATATCATTTTGTTGAGGCCTGAGCTGAACAACAGGGGACAGCTAGTAAGAAGATAAGACTGAATACGTGCTTTTTGTTACAGTCTGTGGTCTGGATGCATTTGTGCACACATGCACACAGCTTTCTGATATGTTTCCTTTTCTGGAGCTATCTGTTATAAATGTAGGGGTTACTCGTGCGCAAGTTGGTGCCACTCCTGGCTAGTTTGCCTTGTTAAACCTTTTCTGTCTGGACAGCCCTACACTTCGTGGCTGTTCAGTCGCTGGCAGAATCCGTCAGTGGGCGTTTCTTAAACCTTTTCCAGCATAAAAGTTGTTTGACTCCAAGTCTCCTCCTACTCTCCCTGCGCGGAAGTCTTCCGCGCAGGGAGGGCGTGGGTAGCGGAGGACCCGTGCTCTCCTCACTGATTTCCGGCAAGGAGTCCTGGAGCCCCCTCGCCGATTCCCCCATCTGCCCCCCTTTATCCCTGGTGTTACGCTAATTTCCTTCCCCAGCTGGTGAGCTGCCTCTCCCCCTGCTGGGCCCTTCTCCAGCATTGTTTGAGAGCCTTGCCTCCGCCTCTGGCTCTGATGTCAGTTCCCTGACACTATCTAATATACATTTTGCTCAAAATTCTCCAAGTTCTAACTAGTCTGAAATACATGTGAAACTCAGAATCAACTTTTTTCCCCCAAGGGAAATGTTGCGTATGTACAGAAGGTATTTTTAAGTCAGTCACATTCAATAAAAATATAAAATGGTGTCTATACGGATGCTAATTTTCTGAAATTCAACACGTTATGAAAGATTTGGGCACTGAATTCTTACCAAAATGGCAGTAAATGTTATTACTGGTACACAAATCTGGTAATATGTCAGATTATACAGAGAACAATAACTTTTAAAAGAAAAAATAGTAGGAACTCAAGAAGGGGCCATCAAGCCTTCTAGTTTATTTTTTGTTGTGATATTTTTGTTGTGATATTTTGGCATGGATGTGAGTCTGGAACAACATGCCCTTACTTACATCATTATCATCATCATAAAATTTTATTTGTTCCCCCCCTCCCCGGGCAAGCCGGGCTCAGAGCAGCTAACAACAAGTAAAAATAGCACAGTGTACATAAAATCACATGGTCAATTAATTAAAACACATTCTAAAATCAATTCAGTATCAAATAGCAACCATTGGGTTAGAGTTCTATGAGAATTACAGAACGAGACATGGGGTCAGACTGTGCCTTAGCCAAAGGCCTGGCAGAACAGTTCCGTCTTGCAGTCCCTGCGGAAAGATGTCAAGTCCCGCAGGGCCCTACAGGCTTATAGAAGCTTGCTGGAACTGGCAGTTATACCTATTCAGGCTGGCAATTTGAAGGATCATCACTGTGACAACAGATGACTGATTGGTGGATAACCCCACCTGCCCATCAAAATGGCCTTTTCAGGAATCTAAGGGTGGTGTTCAACTAATTCCTAATGCACATGACTAAATTAGCTTCATTAACAAACAAACAAAAAGATTCCTTCCAGCAGCACCTTAGAAACCAACTATGTTAGTTATTGCTATGAGCTTTTGTGTGCATGCACACTTCTTCAGAATCCCACTCTCAGGATCCAATCCACTAGTGGAAAGGGTTTCTCACCCCTGGCTTGCCAGTAGTACATGTGAAAAGGGTCTAGGGATCTTAGGTAAAGGTAAAGGGACCCCTGACCATTAGGCCAGTCTCCACCCTGTGTACTGTGTTCAGTTCTAGGCACCACTATTTAAGAAGAATATTGACCAGCTGGAACAAGTGCAGAAGAGGGTGACCAAGGAATGCTTCACATGTAGTGAAACTGAAATTAACTCATGTAGATAACAACTAGTTCAATAATATTGACTTTATTGATCTTTTTTACAAGCCTGTGTTGGTTGTGTAATTGTAGCCTTCTATTTTACTACCATTCCTGTAATGTTTTTTTAACAAAAGATGCCAAGTTTTCTTAATGAAAGATGCCAAGTTTGAGGATAGTATTTTCAGAACTTCTCTCATGGTTTATATTGCCCACCACAACTATATTAGGCTTGGGGTTAGGAGTCCTGGAAATGGGGTTAAAATATAATTCATACAGCTGGACAGATTTATGTGAGTTCAAGGATTATCCTGATTGATGGCAACCTATCAATATTCTTGGTGGTGTTAATCCTTATACTAATAAATATTAAAGAACATCTCAGGCATTTAAAAGCATAAGTGTGCATTCCTAGTCAGAAAAGTGGAAAAGAAAACTTCTATTCAGATGTGATAAACATGTTTTCTTTAGCAATCCCACAAGGAACTCCCACATTTGAATTCATACTCCCATTCATTTATATAGGCTCTAATTAAATTCTAAAATCTACTGTACAATTACCATTTCCCCTTAGAGAACTAATCTGAGGATGGCACAAAGATGCCCTCTAGCAATCATAGGTATGATGAGGGACTAGGAACAAGCATGCACACACCAGTCTTATAACTTTACTTATACTTCATATCTTGGGTGTAATGATTCAGGCATATCATCAGATTGACTGAGCATCCAATCTGGTCATGATAATGATGCAGGTGGAATCATGAGTTAGAGTGAAGGGTGGTGTTCAGTATGATGGTATTAGTTGTCTTCCTGCTAATACTGTATTCTCATATTGCATGTGAAGAGCACCTTGTTAAATGCAGGATCCATGCTCCACACCCTCCACTTCAAAAATACTGTCAGTCAGGCAGCATCATAATTGGTGGGATTGTTTCTCACAGTTTCATTGTTGCTAATTCAATAGCCTTCACAACCAAACCTCCAGCAACTTCATTTGAAGATCTTTCGTAAGGAACTAATCTTTTCTAACTTTGCATTTTTGTTGTTGTTACTTCATCTTCGTCTTAGGAGCTCAGAAAAAATATTTTCTTGTTGAACAGCAGAAAAAGTAATACATTTAAGGGAATGCTGAAGAGAGAAAGAAATTCCACATGGACAAAGCAAAATTTGTTGTCATCCCTGAGAGTGTTCAGAGCCTCCACCAGGAAGGGAATGAGGTTTTTCCTGATCCAGTTAGCTGTTTTGCCCCCCTGAAATATAGATAACATATTCACTCCACCATTGTACCAACGTTGGTCCAAATATACCTCCTCAGCTATGACTACTATTGTTACTACTACTGTTAAAAATTGATGATGTGAGATTCTGTCATGCATTTCCTTTGTCACATTTTTTTGAATGTAAGGTAAAATTCAGAGTAGAAAGAACTTTAGCTCCTCTTTCCTTTACAAACTCCTGCATCTCACCCATCTCCACCTCCTGTTTCCTTTCTTTCATCATATGCATACTGTCTCCTCTTATACTTCTGTTGTGCTTTCCCTTCCTTCTGATTTTTTTGTTACTTGGTTTCAAACAGAGCAGTGTATTTGGTGTTATTGTTGTTTTCATTTTATTTACTTTCATGAATCTTTCCATTTATGAGAGTTACCATAACTATCTCAATACACGCCTTTTGCACTGTATTAAAATGGACTGAATTTTTCTTTCTTTTTTCCTTGCAGGAGTGTGTTTCCTTGAAAGAAAATTCATATCACATTCAGTGGCTATCATTATGAATGTGCATAGTATAGGGTTAGAACATCAATAGATATATCAATGTGAGTGTATTTTCCATTGTGTCAGTCATAGTAATATACCTATCAATACCAATTTTGTGATTGTTTACTTTTTCCCACTACAAAAGGCATATAAATAAAGACTGATGAAGCTGATGCAGAATAAAATTGCAACAATTTATTAAGAGAACAATATGTGTCTGATTGTAGTTGCAACTCTTGTTCTAGTGTGGTGCCCAAAAATTACCAGCACATCCTGGCCTTGGCATTTGCAGTACTGGAGATTAATGAAAACCCTCAGCTACTACCAAATGTCACCTTGGGCGTCTGCATCTATGACAGCTATTTCAATGCTCAGAGGACTTATCATACTACTATACTACTTACCTCCACATTAGATGTATTTGTCCCTAACTACTTATGTGACACCGAAAAACATTTGATAGCAGTCATTGGAGGACTAGATTCGGATATCTCTCTTCATGTGGCCACTGTATTGGATATCTACAAAATTCCGCAGGTAAGGGATATGTGTATATGAGTGGTATAAGTGCTAGTGGTAAAATAAACTAAAGAACTAGAGACCACAGCAGCTATTTTTCAAATACTATGAAAATGTGCACATAATATTTCCAAGAAGAAGAAATCAGGCCCATTTGACAGCCAAATTTTATTATTTATTTATTTATTTATTTATTTATTTATTTTACTGTATTTCATTTCATTATTTCATTTCATTTCTATCCCAACACTCCTCCAAACGGAGCCGAAGGTGGCAAACATCAAAATGTAAAAACAATATGTTAAAATGAAATAGAAACATAGTTAAAACATTTTTAAACCATCTAGAAACATGCTCCCCTACCCACCTTGGGGAACATGTATATATGTATATCATTTTATATATTTCCCATCCAATATATGTATGTGATCTCTAAAAGGTCTTGGAGCATCTGTATATCATGAAAGAGTTTTGTCCTTGGCTAATCTCCAGGAAACACTAAATAATTAACATCTTCAGCTTCCTCCCAAGTTTGAGCCCCATGAATTCTGTCCTTGCCCTCAAAGAATACTAAGGTCTTGTTTGATGAAAGGAGAGCTGAGAGAAAATGCATTCAATGGCTCTCCAACAGGTTCATGGTTTTAGGCTTTGTTGGTGGTTTGAGGCTGTCTACAGGCTGTGTCATAACTGCCCCAACAGGCTATAATACCTGTGATTACTGTTTTTAGGGACTGTGTCCTCTTTCCAACTGACACACAAAGGTAGATGCTGGCCAGAGAGACAAAGAGCTGGGGAGCAAAAATTATTGACTTCTCAGGTCAGACATGGTGATTGTACACAGGGACCAGGGAACTGGCTCTTAAAGGAACAGTAGTGGTAAGAAAGACTGATTTCAGAACTGGTGAACATTACTGGGACTTCAGTTATAGAAGGGCAAAGAAAATAGGAGCAAAGCCCACAAAGG